AGATGGAATCTAGATTCTTCTGTTCTTGACTAGTTGTATCCTCTGGCAAAGTTTTGTAAGAGGTTTCTTCCTTTCCTAGACTCCTATAATAGTGATAATTGATTAATCGATTCAAGACAAAGAAAGAAAAAAAAAAAAACTGGGTTGTGTTTCTGGCAGGAGCCACTGTGAAACAAAAGTTTTTTATATAAAAAGATGTTTGAAAGTGTATTATGGAAAAGCAGGAATGATAGCATCCTCTTTCAGAAGAAGGAGGAATATTACGTTAAAACACAAATACCTGGTCCCATTTCCTTGCAGAAGTTACTGAAAATATGAGTTAATACAATCAAAAGATTAATAAAAGTCAAATACACTTCCCTGCATTTATGCTGCTTATATAACATTTTGCAAATTAGCCCATCTCAGAAGTAAATGTAGTGAGGTTTTGCTACAAATCTGTACTGTCTCCCATTCAAACATTACCCCACTGTTACAGGATACAACAGTAAATGAAAAGCTTTGCATTAAAAGCAAAGAGAAAAAATAGTTGACATAAGAAACATTTTTCTATAGCAATGTTCATATGAAATTGAAATAACTATTCAAGATAAATGGCTAATCCTCATTAATATGACCCTCATGGGAATTAGAATTTATTCTATATGAGTAGAAAGAGATTTTTCATTCTTTTTAAATAATTGTTTAAAAATACCCCAGTCCGAATTATGGACGTCAAGCCTACAAAATGTTATTTTTAAACATCAAGCTGTTTTCTTTTACTTAGAGAGAAGCCAAGGAATAAACTGCTAAATATAGTTTATATGTTGGAAACAGTGACACAACCTTCATTCTCTTGATGCTGTAAAATATGTAACTTTAAATATAAATTTTACAGAACAGTATTTTGCTCAACAGAGATTTCATTTCACTGAGTGAATCACATTAATAACACTTAGCTTATATAGTGCTTTTCATCTGTGGATTTCCCAGCACTTTACAAAATCTAAATTCATTACCAATATTTTACAGAGATGCAATAAAGGGATTTGCTGAAGGTTATACAGTGAATTAGTAGCATAGCTGCCAAAGGAATGAAGTCCCAAAATCTTGCTCCTTACCTGCTAGAACACTCTGACCTATACGTTAATTGTTTATTTTTTTGTTTTTCTTTAAGCATGTGTCAGTGGAAAAACGTTGTGAGATTTTAATTTATGCTCAAGTAAACCAAGTCAGGTAGCAAGCAGTATTTTGTGATCTAACCACAGATCTTGCAGCTGAACGAGGCAAAGAAGCAAAAGGTAATAATACATACTGAGCATGTCATAGTCCTCCAACTGAGTTGTCCTCTAGAAACCCTTCCCCAGGTAACTCTTTGGCAGATGCAAAAGTTGGTGAACGTATTCCAGCTAAATATATTCTGCAAAGGTCGACAATCTCCAGAGTGAACGGCTTAGTATTTTCCACCTGAAACTGCATTCTTTTGATAAGTATTTGGAGAAAAAAAAAAAAAAACAGTTAAAAAGTGAAAGTACAATAACTAGTAAACCTAAAATGTGATATGGAGCTTAGATTTGAATAAGATCTTCGATTTGAAAAAGAAAGATCTCTTCTTTGGATTGGATGATGGCTTCTCTGCACCCCAGTGACATGTGAACATGAGGTAAATATAGGGGAAATATTTGATTTAGGGGAGTCACACTAGATCTGGATGAATGTAATTGAAAAGAGAAACTGCCTGAAAAACCCACGTGTCTAAACACACCTGCATCAATCCCCAGAATTCTCAAAGAAAAAATAAAAATCTCTAATACTTCATTTGTACTCTTTCGTTTAGCAGCACAATAAAATCCTACACATCACACCCCAGACTGATGTGGAGTGGTGACTCTACACATAAGTAGAATTAATTAGATCATTGATTCACACCAGTTGAAAATCTGGCCTTATGTYCTACAGCACATGCCAATGTTACTACGCAAACAACAAGATTTGCTTAACAAAAATATAACTCCAGTCTTTTCAGGTATCACTGATACTTGATTGTTTCAAGTATTGGCTTCCTGACAGGGTTTGGAATGAAGCCATTTTTATTAATTTAGTTATTTTTGCTGATATAAAAGGTCGTCTATCATGTTAATGATGTATTGGTCTGTGGTAGCACTGAACAATAATTACAGAATGTTCCTAATAGTAAATCATTTGTCACAATCAGAGCTCACTACAACAACCTTTTGTTGAGCAATAGCATACATTAGGTGAATAGCAATACACCTTTATGCTTACCAATTAAAGGATCCCACACATACAGAATTTACATGAAGTCCAGATTGAAGTATCATGAATTATGAACTGCTGCTTGCAAAATCTTGCTAGGTATATAACTTACTGCTAATGTTTTACTTGTCAAATCATTTATATGTATCTTCTCAAGTATAATTGGAGCTTCAGRCAGATTCCCCAGTCTGTCAAATCGGAAGTGTTTGGAAAATTTCAGAGCACAGGGACACAAATAAATATTTAAAAGACCAGTTAATCCATGCAGAATGCAAATATGGCCTGTCATGCTTTTGCTCAATTCAGATACTGTTAGTGTTTCTTCCTCTGTTATCAGCTTGGTAAAAATTATAGACGGATTTTACGTTAGGAAAGAGGCTTTCAAATTCTCATGTCCAGTAGCATCAGTGTTATTGGCTGGTCAATACAAGAACATTTGATCACATCCTGCTGGAATGTAACTTTTATTTTCATCTGTTGAATGTCATGCAGCAATAAGGCAGAAAAGAGACTTCCAGTACTTAATTATTCTTACGGATTTGCCCCATTAAAGTATGTGATGAAGAAGAAACAGGGGCCTTAAAATGAGCACTGAACCTCAAATAAATGTAAGAATCCCTGCTTGGGAAAATTCCGTCTATGTAGTTTTAYGGTTTTATCAGTTTGTCCATCCTTAAGTCCCATTTCCCAGGGCAGACTTAATCTCTGTTTCAGTAAGGGCTATCTACCAGAGACTTTTCCAAGCCAAACTGTCGAGCCTTCCACCCCATCACAGAAATGAGACAGTGAGGGACACCAAGAAGACACGGAAAAGGAAAAGAAAAACAAGAAGCCGAGCTGCCAAACGGGTGCTCAACTCCACCCACATGCCTCAATTTTCACTGCCAGGGCTCTGCAAGGCCACACATCGCATCGGGAGCAGCACAGGGACAACCAAGGAGTAATTAAACCTCTTATTGCTTTGCATGGCTGGGTAGTTTTCATAACAGCGCTGCGCAAAACTTGAGATTCACAGATTTTTATATAAGCTCCTCAACATTTCTGCTTCTCTCTCTCTCTCTCTCTCTCCTTTTTTAATTTCAACTGTTGGAATAAACTTTACTGTGAACTGCTGGGAATAAGAGAATTTGAGCAGGCAAATGCTAAAATGAATGTTCATTAAACCCAATGACTTTGAAACTGCCTCTGTGTCAATTAAAATAAAAACTGTCAAATGCTTTTTTTTWWWAAAAAAGCAGCTTTGTATAATAGGAACTCTGTGGAGTTTATTGGCAAAAAAAGAACCATTGCRGGAGGAAAATAATATGTTGTACTTATGAATGTTGTCCTAGTCTCTCCTGACACATCCTCAGGAAAGAAAATTGTATATAACATATATATCAACATACATGCACGTGCTTGTTGGACAGCAAAACAAGGAGGGTTTCTGGCCTTTACTTCTGTTTTTCTAGTGCTTTTTTTTTTTTTTTTTTTTTTTTCCCAAGCTAACAATTAGGACTAATTGTCAACTTATAAACCACTGGGTTTTGTTTTGTTCTGTTTTTAACTGGATGCAGATTTAACACTTCGTATAACTTAAAAATGCCGTTTTGTTACAGTAGCCAACCAATCTGACAGGGGATCTTCACACCTGCGTGTCAAGTGTCAGACATAAAATAGCTGTAAAAGGGGACAATAAAAAGCGTGTTACTGTATGATTCTGACAGCCCCTGCGCCCAGMAATTAATGAGCCTTCAGGACAATTAGCAAAATTGAAATCAGGTTTAAGAAATMAGCTGGGGCAGGTGGGTTGAATGTTATGGAAGAGTCATCATGCTGCAACTAGCCTCCTTCCTCTGTGGCTTATGGCCATGTCTGCACGTTGGGAAAAACAGAGTCCAASTGGAGTAACTGGGTCCCTTCAAAAGATAGAACCTGGGTCCTCAAGAGGGCAGGGAGGAGAAGAGASGGGGAAAACCCTTTTCTTAAAAGGGAGAAAATTCAAATGTCTCCTCCCCTGTGCCCAYGCGCGCCACCCACCCCTTCCCTGCGCTCTGTCCAGAAGAAAAATCCCTCAGCCGCAATGGTTGTTTTTATTAAATTCTCCTCAATAAAAAGCTCAGGCAGGATTTATTAGGTACTCAGGGCGGACGTTTAGTATTTCGCCAGTTATTAAGTGAAAATCAATAGAAAGCAAAGAAAATGGAAGTCACTGCACTGTTAGCACGCTGTTGTCGCCCAGATATTATGTCGGCTGTCTTGTAGATTCATGACAGACGAAAGCGGCCGGGAGAGAACTCTTTCTGCTTACATTGCAGGAGCCAAAGTGGGGTTATTCATTAGATCAGGCAGCTGGCCAGATGGATTTCCAGTTCAGTTTTACCATTTATCTTAAAAACGCCTGTATCGAGTGAGAAAGAACACTGATATTATGTGATATCGATGGCAGCTTTATGTATCTAAATCAGGATTTATTGTTATTTTGTTCTGAAGACCTTTTTTTCTCAAGAAATACCATTTCACTGGAAGAAAATAATAGCTAAAACCTTGTCAAAGATAACCTTTCATGTTGTTCGTGCACCGCTGGCTGTAAAACAAATAGAACCCAGGGTATAAATAGGTTTAACCACATCCTTACAAATCATTCCCTTTAGGATTTTCCTTTTTTTTTTTTTTTTTTTTTTTTTTTTTTTTTTTACCAATGTGAGTCTTGGTCATTAGTTGTTTTTCTTGCCAGTAATTTAGCTATAAATAATGTCAGCATTTGTTTTAATTGTATTAAAAAGCATTAGAAGTTTTATGTCTGTCCCTGGAAGGCCAGAGCAGAAGGACTTTTTCAGTGGGTGGGTTTGGAGAAGAATTTTGGGGAGATGTTTTGTCTTTTGCTTTTTTTAAAACCTCCCTCTCTGTTACCAAACTTTTCACCCAGATCATCACAACAGAAGCAACAACAGCTGTTCTGCCATATAAAAAAAACGTGTTTTTAAGGGAGAGAAGACCAGATCACAGAAAGAGATTAGCTCCTAGTTAGGCATCTCCAGGAGGCATGCAGCTTTTCAGGAGTTCTCCACATTCAGCAAATTCCCTTTTCTCCAGATTGTTGAGCCCTTTTGCGAAGAGYGGAGATTTATCCTGGGCAGTTTGGYCTGAAAATCTTCTGCCTTGAAAGCAGGCGAGTGAAACGGCTGCAGCACAAAGCGCTCCTCACCTTCCCAAAACACCAGTTTTCCTCCTGTGTAAATAGATGCTTCATTCAGCAATCTTTGACTTGGCAGCTGCTGATAGTGCCAGGTCTAATTAGCAGCACAGACCAACACGGTGGCAATCCCAGCAATTGCCATTTTCCCACCGAATGCTTCACTTGCTGGCCAACAGCTAAAACCCTGCATTCAATAACTTCATACCCCAGGAATCAGAAATAGGATAAAATAAAACCCATGTTGCCAATCTTTAAATAGTCTTTCAATTATTTGTGAACACTGGGGTGGGCATGAATGTCCTTTAAAGTAAGAGTGAAGATGTAGGCACCTGTGGATGCCCTGATTGACCCAAAAACGGTCCAACAGGACACAAAAAGCAGCYTGAGATACCAGCCCCCTTCACCTCTCGGACCATCCTTACGCACAGATGTTTTTTGCTCCTTTGCTCCCATGAGGGTCCCCGTGCTAGACTCTTGCTGCAACTGCAGTGGCTGCAAACACAACTTGCAGTCGGTCGCGCTTCAAAGGGTGCAAAGCACAGGAAAAAATAAAATCAGACAAAATCCAAGCAAGTCAGTATATAAAGTTGTAAATAGCCTCTCTGCCGTGGCAGGAAGGAGGGGAGCGCATTGCTTTTACAGTTTTTTCCTCTTTTCCTTCGGAGGGTGTCAGCCTGTCCTCGTTGTGCCGAACAATTTCCCCTAGATCAGATATTTTTCTGGGATCTTTGAGTTTTGGATTCCCTTTGAACCCGCTGTGCCACGGGAAGAGGAAGCCATTCCTGTGCGGATGGAGCGCGGGAGCCTGTTCTTCCCATGCCCACAGCCCCACTATTGTTATCTGCTTCTGCCTTTGATTTCGCGCTGAGTCCTGGCCACCTCCACCATGAAGACAGGCAAAAGCAGGGCATTTTTCTCATCTGCAGTTCTTCTGGCTTCAGAAAATCCYGGCTTCAGAAAAATCTTTCAAATACAGGGCAGAGAAAGCCTTTAATTGCTGGGTATGTTAATTTTTCAGTTTAGCAAGGCTTCTTCATGCTGCAACATTCTCCATTCAGAGGCACTTAAGCTTAAACTGGACACYGTGAAAACCAATTTTTAGGGAAGGCGCCTGAAACTGTTCCAGCAAAACGCAACTTTCATGCACAAATTTTTTTCTAAAAAGCCTATTTCTGTAACTGCTGTATATATTTTACTAGACACCCTGGCTAAAGTCCTCGCTGACAAGAAGATACAGCAGAGACGTGCGTCAGACCGGTGCCAGCAGCCCAGGTTAGAGCTGCAGACTCACGGTGGCAGATTTAGAGGCAATTCTACAAAATGCTCCTCAGTTTATTTGCATTCACCATAACTCAAAACATAWTTTTAATTAGCAAAGTCTTGCACGAAATAAAACTGATCAACTAACCAATTTTCTGCACGCGGTGAAAAACTGGAGTTATGTTTAAATCTCTGTTTTGCTTGATTTCTCGTAGGGACTTGAATTTGTGTCCCCCAGCTGCTTTTCACAAGCATAAGACATTAGTTACTCTGTGATGGAAACACCTTTCTCTTTTTTTTTGGCTGAAATAAYATTTCATGGTCAGACAGCTACTCCTGAGGTAGAGTTTTATGCAACCATACATGTTTTGCCAAAACATTTCAACATCTGCAAAATTATATATTTTTTTTCTTTTTCTTTTGTTAGGARAAAAAWTTCTATTGTTTTTTCTTCTTGCTAACCATCTTCAGTACGTTCTGTATCAGTAGCACTGATTATTCTGTATCTGGTAATTCCTTAACTGAGACAGCTCTGCCACAAAAAGATAACTTGCCCATATAAACTTTATACTTTGTGAATTTGCACGGTCTTTTCTTAAATTTGTGTTTACCATGAAGCTCAGGCAAATGAAGCACATCTCATTTTCTTAAAGGTGGGAAATTTGTCCTCCCCCAAAGGAGCACTAAACACAGCTTTTCTTTCAAAATATAGCCTTTTTTTTTCCTCATGCAAAACACGCAAAACAGATTTTCTAATATTTTGCAGCTTCCTAGCTCCTGATGTTGAGTTTTTAAGGCATTTTTGCCCTTTGTCCATGGGGCAGACAGATCCCAGTCTATCCTCTACTTCTCTCCTTTGATGCCATGTTCAGAGCCTCTCCACCCTCTTCTCTCCTCTTCACATTTGTCCCTCTGTGGTTTGCAAAGACTATCAGACTAATGCTGCAAACTCTACCAGGAGGCCTGGGTAGTCTGTACAGCATCGGCCAGAGTTTTCCACATCAGTTCCCGGGCAGATAAAATTAATGGCATCTCTCCAAGATGAACTCAAAAGCCAGATGAAGTTTTCTTTTTTTTTTTTTTTTTTCCCCCCTCTCTCTCTCCCCTCTCCCTCCACTTCTCCCAGCCAGTTTCCTCACTAGTTTTCTCAGCAAGAACACTAAGAAAAAATCAAAAAATGCTAACACCTGATTTGATTAGATCAAGACTTKYTTTTTTTTTTTTTTTTTTTTTGGGGGGGGGGGGAATTGTTAATAAAATCACACTTCTAAAAAAAACAGGATGGAATGTAAATGCTGCACTAATTTAATTACACTTTGGCGCGGGGAGACACTAATGTAAATATTCTGGTGAGGAGGCCTAAGACACTTGAAGTAATTACTTAAAGGCTTCCTTTCAAAGAATCTCCCCCTTTTTATTAAATGCCTTTTAACATTAGCACTTTCTTCCTGACAAATTAAATGAAATTTCATTACTCTCCCTGACTTAATGGCATGAGGCTGCTGGCTGCAAGTGCAAGTTAACCCTCTCTGGCCGCTTGGYGCAGCTCCGTGCGTCACCGTGAGGGAACATCCTCCCTTTTCCCACTGTCTTCCCACCAGTGTCCTGGCTTTGAGCTCAGGGCTCTTTGCAACCTGGATCAGCTGCCAGAGACGACTGCGATTTCTCCCGTTTTCAGCAAGTGCAGCCTGGAAGCAGAGCCCATGGGAGTGTTAAGAGAAATGCCCATAAAACTCAAGTTCTTTAGGAGGTTTGGTGGGTTTTTTTGGTAAAATTAACAGAAATCTGATTTGTTCTTAATTATTTTGATCACTGCATGTGGTAGAAGARGAGTCCAGCATTTCAGGACACTTCAAAACTTCTAAAACATAYGGGGACCACAAGCACCTCCGACACCAGCAGGAACAAACACATAAATGGACAGCAAAGAAGCACGGCTGTTAATTAGCTTTTATGTGCACAAATTTACTTTTTGATCAAGGTCCACTTGGCCAGTCCATTTTGAAACCTTCTCCTTTATTTTTTTTCCTTTCTCTCTCCTTATTGATTTCTCTGTAAAGCAAATAAGAGYCAGGCCAGGTGTCTATCTCCCGTTTTATTTACACATCCCACACCACAAGTGCCACCGGGTCAGCCTCTTGGCATGTGGCCTTGTGCCAGTCTTSGTGCCATGCTGTTCATGTGCCCTCCGCAAGGTAACAGGAGCAGAGCTTTTAAAATACTTGTGGGATCAGGTCCTYGTGAGCTGGCCAAGCCAGCCGGGGGGCCATAAAACACCCACGATGGTGGATGCCTCTTAAAGTGCTCCCGAGGTGCGGAGAGCCTTGGATGCTCACAGTGCTCCCCAAGGTTTGATGCTGGGGCTGCACTCATTTCATCCCTATTTTGTGCCTTGGAGACCTTCTGATGCAGCAAGGCCAGGGACACTGCCAGAGCCTTTTTTTTTTATTCCTCCTTTTCCCTTTTTGAGGGAATTTTTGAGGCAATTTTGATCACCAAAAGTCCATCTGAGGATGGTCCCTTAACGCTACCACACATTGCTTCTTCCTATGGCATCTACTTTTCCCTCTAATGCTTTATCACTATATGTGTTATCACCAGGATATTGTTGTAGGGSGGCAGGAACAAGCAGAGCAGAAATTTGGGGCTGGTCATTGCAACATAACAGTGCTGCTACCTCCCGGCTGACATTCACAGGCAGGGTTCAAGCACGTCAGCAAACTCCTGCTTGCTCCAGCCCCGTTGAGAAGTTAGCCTTACATATAAATAGATAAAAGAGCTCAGCTGCCACCTCCAAATCAATCCTGTCTTGCCCGTTGAAGCTGCCAGCAACAGAGGAAATTTATGCTAGTTTTAATAATGGCTTTAAAAAGTTCTTCGATGAAAAATTACCTCTGGGTCTGCCTCTTCTGAGCCTRCTTCAATCACAGGACAGGAGTTAGCGATGCCAAGTTCCATCTTATCGCAGATGTCCTTTTTCAGAACACGGCGTATTCGGAACTGAAAACGAGGACCTTGCAGACTCAAGTTCACATGGAACATTTTTTTTGGCAGGGTCCGTAGGTCAGCCTATAAAGAAAGAAAATATCTCTGTTTTCTTCTGTGGAGTTATCAGATTTTGCAAAGGGAGCTTTCTCCTCTTGTGAGGTCCAGGTAAAAGTTCACCCATTCCCTGGCTGCTTGCTTCTGACAAACAAAAATTAAGGACCTGAAAATAACTATTTTATCTGAAAAAATGCTAAACATCCCAAAACAAACATTCGACTGCTCCGCTGCCAAATTCCACAAGTCAAAGAGCTGCAGGCCGAGACAGCTCATGTCTYGCTGGGGAATAATGGGTAAAGTTTGGCCAGCTGCCCCGTCCAGGCCTTCGGGGACCCGCAATCCAATTGCAGTGTCTTAGCGGATGTGAATTTCAAGGTTACACCTGGGTGTTCAAGGGCAGGGCCAAGTGTAATCGGCACTTAGATCATAGATTAATCTTATTTGCCATCTATTAGGTTTGATTCCTGCTTCCCGCTCTCCCTCCCTAAAGCCAGGATTATTGTGATAGTTTAAGATAATGGATTCTAACGGAAGAAAGGTCACGCAGGCATTGAGATTTGGAACCTTAAGATAATATGATTAATCTAAAAGCTTCTTTCGAAAAGGGGAGGGGATACTCTCATAAGTTTAATTGAGGGGGGAGAGAGAGGAAGAMAGGGATGGAATTAGCAGCAAGAAAAGGAGGAGTAAAGGATCCTACTTTTTGTCAATTGTAATTAACATAGCAAAAAAACCCCACTTTTCATTCATTTTCAAGCTGAGAAACCTTGTCTTTCTTTTTTTTTTTCTAAAATCCCTAAAAGCGGTATTTATCTTCAAATGCTTATTGAAAATCCTTAATTGCTGCTAAACATGAATATTGATTTTCACAGATACACACATGACAAATGCAAAAAAAATCTGGAGCACACAAACATAACATAAATTCATACACTGAGGAATGAAAATTGTTATATAAATGAGGTATTCTGGTATCAGGTGCTTGACTTTTATGGGTACTGTAAGAAAACTCTACAATGGAGAAATAGATTGCAATAAGTTTATAGTAGAAACCAAAATGTTCTGGGGACTGTAGAGAGATTCACTGTCCCAAAGAACCAGTAGTACTATATTGCTGTGTAGTATTACATAATAAAACCTTTCCTTAGTAGTTTATATTGCTTGAGATTATCAAATAAAGGAGTTTAAGAAAAAAGAAATAACTTCTTTATTATATATGCTGTTTATTTATTTGGACATTAAGACAATGGAACATAAAAAAATCAAATCATATCCTTATGGTTTGCATATGGAGTTTCAATACCACAGGAATTATATTGAATATTTTTGAAGAAATGTCTGTCATATTTCTGTTTCATTTTTTAAATCATAAAAACATTATTCATAAGATTTATAAACAACCACCAAATGCCAATAAATGTATTACAGGCGCAAAGCAGAACTGTTATCATCAGCCATGTAACTACTACGACCCTAGCCACCCACAGACTAAAAATAATAAAAGTCAAATATTTGTTAACTGAGTCTTGGTTTTGAGATCTTTCAGGTTCCCAAATTCAATCCTCACTGATTATGTGGACTAGAATTTTCCCCTCCTCATCAAAAGAAAAAAATAAGCAGAATATACACACAGTACTAATCCCACTACATGAGAATTTAGGCAACTCCTTAAAAAGATAGTTCTGTGACAAAAATCACAAAAAAATACAATAATTATAGTATTTCTTTGCAGAGAGAAACTAAAGAGCTTTTTTTCCTGCTGGYTTCTGCTGGATGAATTCAGAAATCTTTAGTCATCTGCCCAGAGCCTTTGCAGATCAGTTCCATAATTTCAGCCTTCCCGAACACCCCCACTGGCTCTTGTTGCATGGGCATCACTTGCACCCAATGCATGGGTCGCCCCTTGCACCAGGTGCAGAATCAGGCTCCTTCCACCATCCCTGGACATCCATGAGCACAATATCTGCAAGCAGCCTACTTAGAGCCCTCCATTTAAAATACTCACTTCAAGTGGGGTTTTGTCCCTTTTCAACATATTTTCCCCCAGATCCTACAAGAAAACAAGGATAAAAGTTCCTCTCACCCTGACCTTGCAGTCTGACTGAGAAGTGCTGGCTGGCTTATTCCTAGAAACTCAAGAACCAAACCAAGTGTTACTGCAGCTCTGGCTGAAGGGTAATGTAATTAGAACTTGAGCTACGACTGCTTAATACAACCTGTAATAATAATATATGTCTATCATCATTCAGAGCTATTCTAAGACTTGAAACAGTATTAAAAGCCATAGGAAATAATTAGTCGTGAAGAGGAATCATGAGTTTCAGGGTGCAGTATTCACATAAGGACCAGCTACAGATGGCTTTAAAAATGACTGTCTCCAGCATATGCCACTGCTGAGAGATCATCTATGGATAAGTTAATATAAGAAAAGATAAAAATCCCTGGAATGGATTAAGCTATATATTAAGCTATATAATGCTGTGGATCACTGAGGTTAGGATATTAAACTGAGGGTGGAGTGAGAGGGAATATAGCACTTAAGAGCTGAAAGTGGGTATGCACAAGTCAATTGGCTGCTGCAGTTTTCACACTTATTTTGTGAAAAAAATGAATTGTTACCAGTTTATATTGCACTGTAAAGTGCTTTAGGATAACATCTCAAGGAGGAAACAGAGGCAGACTCCCTTGAGAACAGAGAAGCTGGAGCTGCTGGGTGGATATGAACCTGCAGTTAAAGGGGACATATATTTTTTAGAGAGACAGAATAGCAAAAGATAGAGATATGAATTGGTCAAGACTAATGGTGGACAGCAACAAAAATCAGTTGGGAACTTAAAATCCTTATGGCATAAGGATAAACATAATAACGCACAGCTAATTGAGCATAAAMAATTTGAGGGACTCTGTTGTTCATTACATTTCTAATTTTCCTCTACTGGAATGTCATACTTCTGATGGTATTTTAGCCATGTTCTCATTAAACCCTCCCAGAGACTGCTTTCAGAGAATGAATGAAAAGAAAAATAATCACCTTGACATGTTTTACTAATAGAAATCCACAAAGAAAAAAAAAAAAAAAAAAAATCAACCATGAGGGTGCAAGAAGGGAGAGAAGATATTCGGAAATTGCCTTAAGTCTACCACTACAGCACGTTTCAGACTGTAGGACCCCATTCTCTAAAATGCAATGCAGCCAATACAGCCAAACACTTAAAAGTAGGTGGTTAACATCAAATTCACAGACAGTTCCACTAACTTCAGCAAAAAGGTAAAGATGTTGATTTCTGCTTTGTTGTATCGGTACCTAAAATTCAGTGGCTTCAAAGGAAAAGGTCTTCACTCAACTCTCGCTGAATCAGACCTCCTGTTTCCAAGAAGAGGGCATTTCAGGCTCTGCCTTTGAGCTTCAAGTTCAAACAACCCCAAAAGTTCAAAAGCAAAATGCCAAAACCCCTTTTACCTTTTTTTTTTTTAAACAGTTTTTGCTACAGCCACATTGATTCAAAACATTTGTTACTATAGATCTGAACTGGGTGGTGACTTGGTCAAGAACCATGAAGAGGACTTGGATGTAACACTCAGCGCACAGATGACTGTGGGACTGAGCTCCCTCTTCCCCCAATGCATCAGCATAAGGAAAAACTGTATGGCAGATGTTTCACCTATTGAAGAGAAGATACAAATTCTGCCCATGAGAKGGGTCCTCTGTTATTACACAAAAACACTAACATCCAATAAGTTACTAAGTACTTTGTCTCTCTTATCCTCTCGGCAGAACTGTAATTTTCTAACCTCTGAAAGGTTTAATATACAGGCAACCTCTAAATAGATATTAAAATCAGACAAGATTTCAGGATAGAAATTACTGAAATATTTGACAAGTTATTTTTCAATTTGGAGAAAGAAAGTCAAAAAAGGAAAATGACCATCTTTAATATGGAAAATACCAATTTCTCTCTCTTTAAATCCACAGGTGCTCTGCGCCCAGATTTTGCACAGACATATACAGGCTTCTAGTGAGGACTTCTTTCCTACATACCACAGAACAGAGATGTACATGGAAGTATTGGACTGCATTTCCTCTTGTTTCCCCAGATCTGCATCTTTAAGAACTGCCCTCCCAAGACAACTGCCTGGATGCTTTCAATCAACTCAGTGGATAATTCCTTAGGAGAATATTTCCCCACTTCTCCCCTATTCAGCTGCTGGGTTTCTGTATGTTTTTCACCTTCCTTGGAACTAGTTGTCAGTTCTCTTGAGCCTCTCCAGAGAAAAAGCCTCTGCCTAATATATGATGTGCTTATTCATCCCAGACGTAGGGCATATCATTCTCGAATGACTGACAAGCGTTCTAAAATGAAGAGAGCTCGAAGTGTGCTCTAATAGTGATGGGAAGCATTTCTAGTCAAACATAAAGCAAATTAATGTGAGCCCCCACTGCACCTTTAATCTGGAAATGTCATAAAGTAATAAGCAGAGTGACCCTGGCAATGTCTAAGGTTGGATTTCAATAGATTTACATCTTAAAGGGCAACTACTTATTTTTAAGTAGTAGGGACCAAATTCAGAGCCCCTTTTCCGACAGTGTAAATCTGGAGGGACTCTACCAGTAGATAAGAAGATGATCTTTTTTTTTTAAGGCTTCATGACAATAATTATTAGCTCTAAATTAGGGGCCAGGTTCCCCTCCAAAAAAATCCAGTCCCCTTGATACCTCTCATTACCTTCAGAAGGGGCAGACTCTGCCCTGCATGTCTCATTTCAAACTAGTTTTGATTAGGAGTATATTTAATTAACACATCCTTTTGATTAGCATTCAGAATGAAAATCTGTTTTGCACAGTCCCTAGAACAGAAGATTCAATAATACAGATAAAAAGCCATAGGCTACAGGCCATACCCCAGGGCAGAAAAGGCAGRRTTTTTGTTTTGTTTTGTAGAAATAAGGTATCAATCATGATTTGGGCATCTTGCTAATACTATAATTCCTAGGTAAATAAATAATGAATAAATTAAAAAAAAAAG